GTGTGTGTGTGTGTGTGTGTGTGTGTGTGTGAGAGTATAACATCGTTGATATGGACCCTGCTCTCCCACATGATACCAAGAACATCATGAACAAGGAAGACAAACTGTAGAAAATGACATCATATTTAATTATTCTCTTGCTAAAGTATGAGATAGTACAGGTCTATAATACATAAATTGATTGTCGATGTTTTGTATCTCCGGTAACCCAGTATAAACCATTTAGGAGGTGGGCTGTTTCATCCACCATGTGAGGGATAAAAGACAGACAAAGTTGATAAAATAAACACCAAAGCAAGAAGTTATCCATGTTCTCTGCCGGCAACAGCAAAAAATCTGCGCCATTACACCATAGACAGTGGTCCTCAACAGGTGCATGACATGGACAAAAACAAGTTGAACAAGCAAAAAGTAAGTATAACAAAGTAACATGTAACAAGTAAATGTAAGAGAATAACAAGTTAAAAAGTAGCTAAAGAAAGTAATGCGTAGGAAGTAAGCTTTAAAAAAATTACAAGCAATAAGTAAGTAAGAGAAAAAGGTAAACATATATATATACGTTAAAAGTTAGTGCAAGAAAGTAAACAATTAAATAACAAAATAAAATACCCCCCCCCAAAAAAAGAAAAACCAAGGCAGTTTCAAACTAAATCCATGATAATTGATCGCTGGACTTTGTGGACATGGATTGTAAATTATGTAAGCAAAATAATAAACCAGAAAATGAAATGATAATGGCAGAAAAGTCGTCTAAAAAATATCACAGTGGCGGGAACAATTCAATCTGTCTATTCGCCCATCTCTCAGATTGCAACTTTTAATAGTAATTATATCAAAACTAAAGCATGTCATCACAGAATCAAGTCTTTTTGTATGTACTAATCCTTCATCACACTCCATCCTTTCTTATACACAATAAGGTAGGCCTACCCTTGTGGAAGATTGACCTCTAGTTTTGAATGAAACAAAATAGAAAGGGTGATGGCTGCAAATGGATAGTGCAATAAATACATGAATTAGACTATAAACAAAATAAAATTAAAATAAAAATAAGACAACATAGAGATGAGCGGACAGACTAATGATAATAACACATGATATCACAGGAAGAGGAAGAAGGTTCATTAGCATGACGTACAGGACAGTATCCCAATTTTGTTTTGAGTAATTTTTATTTTTGTAATCGTAGTTTTATAGATGGACGTTTTAATATGCCCATCAACACAATTTTCATATTTTAAAAGGTGGGCTTCTTCGACCTTGTTTGTCACTGTCAGGGCCAATTCAGACTGAGATGGATACAACGTCCAAGCAGACAGACAGAGATGCTCAATAAAAACACCCCAACACATGAATCAAACTTACTTCTTCGGTGCGCAGCAACGAAGCGCCTAACCACCACACCACAGATATCGGTCATTTTCAGTAAAAAGTGACTGGCATTAAATGCAGGGGAAAAGCATAATAGGTGGACAGAAACAACAGATGGGAAAAAAGGTAAAGCACCTTCTAGTGGTACCCTTAGATCACTCAAACGGAGAGGCAGGTTCCAGCAAAAAAGGTTTTACCTGAAGGCCCGGCTCAATTTTGTCAAATGTGGGAGCAAAAATTAGAGGTATTGATAACATTTAGAGTATACCTACATAGGATAAACTCTTTTCAATCATCATTCACATAACATATATAAAATGAACATGTGTAAGAAGTCACAAGTGAGTAAAACTAAGTAAAGCAACAGAAGTATTCATCACATTCTATTAGTTATGAAGTTGAGACTTCTCGTAGAAATGACTTGCAGCATCGTAGACATTGTCTGTACACCTCCTCATATGCTTCAATGTTGTTGCTCTGAGAAATAATCCCAAAAAAAAGAAAAATTTACTTAGTCCTTTTCTCTCTTTTCTTCCAATAACGAGCTAAAATCTAATCAAGTCCCACAAAAATAAAAGCATGCTTTGTCCTACAAAATGTAACTATCTTTGCACTTCAAAACAAATTTCGTTTTTTAATATATCTTTTTAATGTACCAGCAATGATATGCAGAGTCTGAATTATGTAAAAAAAATAATTTTAATTGCATGCACCTTTGCAATAGTTTTTGTGAGCTGAGCCGTGACGCTTTGAAATAAATGTATTCTGGTAAAACTTTTTCTTTATCACAGATTCATTCACTTCAAAACTTGATCAGTAATGCATATGGCTAAGACAGCCATTCCAGCTCAAAAAATAATTCCAGAAACCTCACTCTCCTTTCCTCATCTATATTCTTTTGTCACCTCTAGCTTCTTTTCTCCACATAACTCTCCAGCAGACTCCCTCCTTTCTCTCACTCAATAGATTTTCCCTAATTTATCTCGTCATGCAAAGATTAGTGTAAATTAAGTGTCTTATTCACTTCATCCCGTAGATGCTATGAGTAGTATGAGGGTAAATCTATATGAAAGGGTTACTGAATGAAAAGTACTACGGGTGGTGTTATAGGTGAGGCTTTTATCAGACACAATGTCCCTGGGTGTTTTGTGTACATTTCCAACCTTGATGTAACATAATTAAAACAAAGGAATTCTACCAACCTGCATTTAAAGAAATTTGCTAAACTTTATGTGATCACATTTGAGAACAACTTCAAATGAGAATGCGAGAGGTTTTTACTCGTGACAATTTTTGTAAGTGTTGTTATTGATAGACAAAGTTGACCCACTTCCCTCTTTGTTTTCCTACTGTAGTCAATTTCTGCAGTCAGTACTTGTAGTCTACAACAGCACATCTACCAGTGAAATCAAGAGATTCAGAAAGGCAAACCCCAATAGAGAACTTCAACTCACAAAGTATGGATCAAAAATAACTCTCTCTCCCTGAGGGTCGTAGTCACCTAGAACTTTAATCGTCGCTTCACTCATCCCTGGCTTAAATTCTCGAAGCATTCTGGGGGGGGGGAAAAAAATCAGTGGTACAGTTCAAGAAAAAGTTCCCCATTCTTTGTTTATCCTTAGAATATATAAAGTAATGTGGATCTAACACAAAGGCTGACTGGGTCTAAGTAGCCTGCTAACTAATTGATCAAAATAGTATCCATAGGAACAAAACAAAACAAAACAAAAATATTTTTTAAATTTGTCGGTCTCAAAACTGAGGCACATCTTTCTAGAAAACGAGGCTGTTAACGAAAGTTGCCTGGATTATCTCTCAAAGAGGTCAAAGTTCTCTTAAACAAGATCTTACATAGAAGTATTGTGGAAAACTTGGTAAAAGTTTTTAAATAAAGTGAATATAGGTTTGGTATAGCAGTCTTTAAGATGGAAGGAGATACATGGACAATAAAAGAAAAATAGCACTCAAGAAGGGACTGTTTGCATTTTAAAAACATTTTTTCTTCAAACAACATGCACAGACAAGTACAGGATGTCTTTAAAAAAAAAAGGACCCACTTAAAGGACAATAATTTGGTCATCAGAAACAAAATTTTGAACAAATAAATTTCAACCATGAAGACACCAAGTTTGTTGATACATTCTCTCTTTCCTTCTTTCTTTCTGTCTATCTTTCTCTCTCTCTCTCTCTCTCTCTCTCTCTCTCTCTCTCTCTCCTTCTCTCTCTCTCCACCCCCCCCCTCTCTTTCTCCCAAGCCCTTTCTCTCTGTCTCTATACTCTCTCTCTCCCTCACAACTAACACATAACATGGTGACTGTACAGACAACGTAGGATTAAAACAAATGAAACTAGGACTAGCATAATTGCCTTACCTCAGGTTATAGTCATCCATGCCTAGAATGTACTGGAAATTAAAATAGTCTTCACCTGTGATCTAAATAAGACAGAATTAACATTAAATTCATAGGAAATTGTACAAAAATAAATGTGAAACAATATACATTAAACTGCATGACTTGATAATAAACAAAGGAACTCTTAGAAAGAAAAAAAGTAGAATAACTTAACAAAAACAGTTATAAGTGAGGCAGACTATTAATATAAAATTGTATAATTTCCAACACAAGAAAAAACTCCTACTTTCTACGCGCCATGGCAAAGAGCCTAACAATAACACTGGTGTTGGTCAACTTATTTCTGATAAAATCTAATATTCAAACAGCAACAGTTTTTTATCGCATCGTTACAGCACATTTGAACTCTCATCACATTCCCAGAGGGTCAATAAAACAAGAAAAATATTAGATGAGAAAAAAAAGAATTCCTATAACTTACCAAACGAGCGATGTGGGTATAACCAACGATACCTCTTTGAGCCAGGACTTGAAGTGTCCGAGGTTCTGGAGTTTTCCCTAAGTGCCAGGTCCCGAGACCTGCACTGTCCACTTTCCACTGGATGAAACAGGGAACAATTTTTGAAGATATCACAAAGAAACAGTTCAGTTTTTCAGTTGAATCAGACAAAATCCCCCATTCCCCATCCACAAAAGAAAAGGAAATACAGTGGAATTTGATTAAAATAATGCTGTTTAACACTATATTCCTGTTACTAAAAAAATGATTTCAAATCACCCTCAGGTTTCTTTTTTCCTCTACTTTATTCTTCGTATTGCAATCACCATTACACGGAGAAATTCTCTGATCACAAGAAGTTTGTGTTATTAGGGTATAATTGTACTTCTGATTCTCACTTTACCCTCATATTAACTTTAAGCATTCTTAACTTCTGGATTAAAGTTCCTCCCAACTCGAACTACAACAATGAATTCTATAAACTTGGTACCGCCTGTATCATTGCCAGTAGGAAAAAAAAAAAAAGGAAGAACGCAAGATGGGAACAAAAATAATGACATTATAAAAGAGATATAAAGATAGAGTCAAGCAAAAGAAATCCATCCTTATTACTTTTTTGACAGAGGCCAAGGTCAACATAACTGGCCTGCACACAGAACAGTTTTGCAACTTAGCATCATTTTCTTTTCCAGATAACATAGACCATTGTTACTAGTTAGTATTATTTACAGGAAAGTGTTCGGTTCTGAATGGGCCTTTTCATTTACTCCAGAAAGATTAAAGTAACACAAACAATTAAAGATCAGGGTCTCTAGATACTCTACACATGTATTCAACTAATGAAGTACATTATAATAAACATTTTAAAAACTGTCCCACTCTTACCTGATATTCCTCTCCTGACTTTCTGATGAGATCAAGGAAAATAGCTTCTGCCATTGTTGATCTGCAGTGATTTCCTGTAGTGGAAGAAAACGAAGTAAACTGAAAAGAAGTCTACATGGCATAAGTTCTTAATTTTTAAATTTTAGTTTGAAAGAAAGACAAGTTTCAGTCATATAAATTTAACAAATTTAGATGCCAACAATATCAAAAACAAGATCTCAATTTCAAATTTTAATGTTCCTACCACCAGCAGCGGGAATAATATCAAAAAAAGGTTATATCTATGAGAGAAATAAAGTGAAGGTAGGAAATTTCACACAATCCATCCTACATCGAAGGTACTTAAATAAGTAGGCTACTCATGATAGCCTATTTTAAGCAGCATCTTGAGTTATTAGTTACAAAAACACTTTGAAATGTACACAGAGAGACATACTTTCTAAACACGGACCCTGTTTTGATGAACATTCTTTTATCGGATGGTTACCCTCCCCTCCCCCCTTTCTACTCTCAAGACCACCATTCACCTCCATTCTGCGAGTTTCAATTTTTTTTAAATATGCGATACATCTGAAAATAAATTAGATAAGGAACATCACGGTCAGAAATACACATAGATAGGATTTAAAATTGTATTGTAACACTACTGAAATGAAAACAAGGCAATATGTCGACTGTCTGGAAGGACTTCAGTAACGAGTGGTGACCACCCCAACTTGATATATATATACATAATAAAGAAAAGACCTACCTTTAACCCTATACCTGCACCTAGCTCCCTAGCCCTAACCAAAACCTTTCCACATTAAAATGTTGGGGGTTTTTTATAGTTAACTTTATCCGGCAACACGGTAAACAAAAATACTCAAATTCTTTTTAAATTTCATAAGATTGAACTTTGGTGGACCCAACTCCGAGCGCAGTCAAAACTACTTTTGAGCCTTAGCTGTGCATTCCATACCAACTATTTATGTTCCTTGTACACTTTTCTTATTCTCTGTTGTATATTGTTTTGCATTTTGAGTTTTCTTTATTATTATTGTTGCTACGGTGAACCCCCC